CAGCCGTGATCAACTGCCCCACGGCCAGCATACAGAGGGCTTTGTGCATCGGTGTGTTTGCATGCTGTCAAAGGGTTGCACGCACAGGGGCGGAAGTCTAAAGAAATTTCTTGACATTGCTGCGTCTCGATCCTCGACCTTGAAACACACCCAGGAGCGAGGGTGGGGGGGTAGAGCTTGGTCAAGCTGACATTCCCTAGACCCTGACATACTGGTTCTTAGTATGGAAAAAGGCAATGTGGTATATAGCATGATCTAGTGATTATATTCCCTTATTCCCTACAAAGAACCAGCAAGCTGAGCGTTACTTCAGAAACCACCACTCATCAATACTATCATCTCATTGTTATTGTTGTTACTATTATTACTGTTTTTACTATTATTACGATTATCATTATTATTACTCTTATTCCTATTATTACTATTATTATTACCATTTTTGCTATTAGTACTGTTATTCCTGTTATTACTACTATTATTATTACTACTATTATTGCTAGTATGGCTATTATTACTGTTATTATTTTTGTTACTGTTATTACTATTATTACTACTACATGTTGCTTCTTGACAAGGTCGCTCTCGGACCTGGACACCTCCCCTACCGGCGGAAGCTCCGCTCTGACGAGACCTGGCTGCTTTCGCGGGCTTCTAGTCCCCCTTAGGTAGATAGAATATGGGGTTTAGGGTTTAAAGTTTAGGGTTTAGGGTTTAGGGTCTAGGGAATAGTCCTCCTTACGTATCTAGAATATGGGGTATATGGGGATCTTATCATGACATACCCCAAGCCATATTCTATCTACTTAACCCGCCTACAGCCCAGAGGGTTCAAGTACCCAATAATTAGGTCCCTTTAAAGGGGGGGTATATAGGGATATATAGGGTTTAGGGTTTAGGGTTCAGGGTTTAGGGTTTAGGGTCCATGTACCCAATAATTAGGTACTTGGGTTTTGGGTAACAGTAATTGTAGTACAGGTTTTGGGGTATGTATATAATGATTAGGTACTTGGACCCTGCGCGCAGTTTCATGGGTTCTATACCAGCTAATAGGGGGTGAGTACGAAGAAGCTGCACGTAATCAGGGTTACAGGTAATAAGGGTTCGCATGCCCGAAGATATTCCTAGGTTCAGGAATGTTGGGATGTCGGGAAGTTCTAGAAGAGTAATACAAGAAGTCTCATGTATTTGCAAACGGCTGACGGTCCGACGGTTAGAGAGCATTACTCGTTGGGCAGTGAACAGTTACACTCCTACTAGCGTGCTGCGTGAGTCATGGCTAGGATATGACCCTGAACTCTGGACCCTGAACCGCGTCCTAATGTACAATAATCCTTATCAGAGTGATTCGCACAGTGGCCCGTAATTTTAGGAAACCCCCCAATCAACGTTCTGCATCCAATACTTAAAGTAAGATTCGTCCTTTGCCATGCTTCTTTGTAAGAGGAATAATTCCCTTCCTCAGTCCAACCTAGGAGGCCAAAATTCATGCGATAATCCCAACCAAGCTGCTGCTGCATCGCCTAAAATGTATATAAGTTATAGTCTAAACTCTAAGTATCCCCCTTAATAAGGCCTATAGTAGTCCCCTACATACTCCCCTATACAACAACCCCCGTTAAGAAGTTTAGACTATAGCTCATATAAGTCCCCCAAAAAGGGACCTTTGTTCTGATGACCCTCCGTACGACGGATCCACCTAAAACCTGCCTGTAATCATTTTTTTTTTGGTTTTTAGGGTTAAGGGTTTAGGGTTTCAGCTTCATGGTTAGCCTATTAGTTAGGGAGTACTTACTATCATTCCATTTGTTTCTCCAAACCCTAAGCTCAAAATCCTAAACCCTGAACCTTGGCTACTGCCCCCCCTCAGTAACAGTTGGATAATAAGTATAATATGGTTATATATAGCCCTTAATAGGACCCTAATATGGACTGTTACTCGGGGGGGCAGTACGTTCCAAGGGCTCCCGCCGACTATCGCCTCCGAGCCGCCGCATCGCCGCCGATTCCGGCTTTCGGTGAGGTGTGGAGCGTTTAGAGTTGTTTGGGGGTTGGGGTTTAGGGTTGGGTTTAAGGTTCAGGCGTTGGGGTTTGGGGTTTGGAGGTTATGGGAGATATAGGGCTCCTTGAAAAGAAAATAAGGGTCGTACCCAAATTAACTCGAGTGTAGTAGTAGCTACCCCACAATTAGTAGGTATAGCCGATAAACCTGTAGGTACTTGGGGTTACAGATACAAGGATATACCCCTATATAACCCCAGTTTCCATTTCATTTTCCATGTTCTTTTCCATTTGATTCTCCATTATCCCAATATTAACCCATAAAACTGTAGGTAATTCAGATTGCTAGGTTTGGGGTTTAGGGTGTAGGGTTGCTGTTGGGGAACTTTTAGGGCTAGGGTTTAGGGTTTAGGGTTTAGGGTAGCCACAATCCTGGAGAATAGGCTTGGAATGTAGAACATGACATGGAAGCTAGGGTTATATGCGGAGTTACATTCGGATTCAATGAACTTGCAAATTTTACCACTGTAACGAAACCACATTATGTACCACATATCTATTTTATAGTAACTTAGTTCAAGTTCCTCAACAGCCACACATTATCCAAAGCTTCCTTCGAAAAAGCCATGTGTTTTTCTGGAACACCACTTACCCTAGACCGTAAACCCTAAACCCTAGACCCTAAACCCAGAGTTTTCTGTGTTGTACGTAGTAATCAGGAGACCTGTGCTACCAAGCTGTAGATTATTTGGCTTGCAGATGGGGTTTAAGGGATTGGTGGGCCTAGGCCCTAAGCCCTATACCTAGGGTTTAGGGTCTGGGGTTTACGGTAAATCCCTAAACCCACAGACCCTCAACCCCGAACCCCCAAAGCCTTGAATCCGTAAGCACCTTGGTATTCCATAGGGCTGATGCTAACTAAGAAGCTCCAAACTCAAATTCCCAAAGGGGTTTAGGGTTTAGGGTCTAGGGTTAAGGCCAATACCTGTAGTCCCAAGTACCTATAGCTTCATGCACTATACAGTTATACCCACCAAAGTAAGGTAATTTCTAGTCAGCTGTGTGTAACTGTGGAAATGAGCCTCTGGCAGAGAAGACTTGACATCAAGTATTTAAAGCTTTTAAATTTTTAGGGTTACTAGCGTGCGAGACGTTCCGTGAACATCGCCACGCAAGACGTTAGCGTGGGGTGCGCCCAGGTTCGCTGAGCTCACCCAGCACATCCACCCAGTTTATGACCTTGGTCGGGTTTAGGGTTGTTCCACCCCCCATCCCCTATCATCGAGGGGGGGTATTTGGTTTGGAATAGCCGCTTCTGTGTTGTAGGCCACCCTCGCCACCCTGAGGGGAAGCCCTGCTGTGTTGAGGGGTTAAATTTGGATGCAGACGGGGCCATTTTCCGGCTTGGGGTGTGATGGGGATCCGGACCGTGATAGGGAACGGAGCATGGATGGTCCTTCAGAGAAATGGGCGACGAAGCATGCGCCTCTCCCCGTGTCTTCCTTTTTACGGGGCAATAACTCCTGGGTAGTAGCTTTCTTGAGGCCATAGGTTGTTGGGGTTACCCATAAACCGGAAAACGCCAATGACTCTACGCCGACAGAAGGAGGCAACTTAAAAGATTGCACCCCTAGAACACTGGCTCAACATGCGCCTCTCAGCATAGGCTCGCCTTCTCACCCTGCAACGCAGACTCTGCACCTTGAAGGAAACCCTAAACGCCTATAACCCCCCTTTAAGTAGATAGAATATGGGTTTAGGTATGTTATAGTAAGATCCCCATATACCCTATATTCTATCTACTTAAGGGGGACTATATCCCTATACAACTCTATATAACCCCAATATACTATAGTAGTTTCCATTTTCTTTTCCATTATCCCCATAATCTACTTAAGGGGGACTATAATCATAAACCCTAAACCCTACCCCATATTCTATTTAGTTAAGGAGCACTATAAGTTCCTTAACCGCAACCCAGAAGCTGGATGCTCCAGTGATGTGGCCCGAAGCTTGGAAAATTGCATCCATGCCTCCGCTTCTCCGACGCCCGCGAACATACCCCTACTGTTTAAATACGTCCCACGCTCTGTAATCATATGTGTACGTATAAAATGTATGTATATGTTATATACACATATGATCATCGATGGAGTCTCTGAGTTCTGCCCAAGATCAAGTACTAGGTGTGGAGGGGGGTTATCACGCTTCAGCGCTTAGATATGGATACTGGCAAGACGTCACGACGGCCCCTGAAGAATCTGTAGCTCCCCCACGAAACTCTGTACACTGGATCCCTCAACCGAACATCCGAGCTGCATTGGGTCCAAACTGTGCACTTTCCACAACGCTGAGGTCCGTCCGGGAAGTCGTCCGCATTTCGGCTGACCTCCAGAAAGCCTGCAGCGGCGGGAGGGTTTGAGTTGGGGCTGGCTGAGAGAGAGGGACTTAAGGTGTGGGCCTTGGGCTTTATTTCAATTTCAAGGCTGAGGTATTCTGTTAAAGTGTAAAGTTGGCAGGCTACAGCATGCAGGGCAAGGTTGTAGAGTTGAGGGTTCCTCTTAGATCACAAGATAAGCAGCAACTTCTCAAGTCATAAAAGCCCCATTGTCAGGCCTCTGGTTTAGGGTTGCTTGCTCCAAACCCTAGACCCCAGATTCTACCTTCCCTGCAAGTCTGGCAGACATGACAATCCGACGAAACCATGTTCAAGAAATTTCGGCTAGACCCCACACACCTGTCATTGCTCAATGGCGATAAGCGTCGCGCATTTGGGTTATGGGGCAAGGGGCTAGGGTTGGAAGATCGTAAGATTCAAGTTGGGCTGTTAAACCCACATCCCAAGTCCCACAAGTTCTCATCATCAGTGCTGGGAACAGAACACCTCTCCAACCTGAGCCCCTGAACCATTATCGACCCTACGTCCGGCCCCTGCCCCTTAAACCTATGCGTAAACTCAAACCACCCAAGCCCTCCAGTAAACGTCCCACAGCTCAAGGATCCTTTAAAGCAAGCCAAGAAGCGGTACATCAGCCCCGTGCCCACAGTCAGAGCCAAAAAGCTAAACCAAACAGGCCCGCTGAAGGGCGTGAGGAACGCAAAAATCTCATCGAAGTCGATGCCTGGATTTCTTGAGGGGCCATTTGAGTAGCGTTTTTTTGGTGGTTGAATCTAGTAAGATTGTATTCCTTATATAAAATACTATACCCCAAAAGGAGGATATAATCTTACTCTATATTGGGTACCATAATATCCCCAAATAAAATGCTACTCATGTAGGGGCTTCTGAAGATGAGGATGTCCAAAGGGGAGTTCCTGCTGATACAGAAGTACAATCTTTAATCGACCTCCCAGACCGAATGTAAAGTATTGCTTGAGAGGTGCCAGACCCTCCAATGTAGTACCTTTTTGGGGGTCCTAATAAGAATCCTTACCCAAAAACTACCAAACCCAAAAAAGGAACTACATTGGAGGGTCTAGGTGTTCATTCAAAGTCCACCACGATCTTGTGTGGCATCTTGCCACCCAAGTACAATCATCCTTATTATAAGGACGCCGGGTTTAGGGTTTAGGGTTATAAGGACTCCCCGAAGTGGTAACCCCTAATTTTGGGAAACCCTAGACCGTACATACCCCCTCTATACCCCTATATAACACCTATACACCCCTTTACTCCCATTTTTGGGAAACCCCCAGTTTGTATGATGTTACATCACTCCTAAAACCCAAACCGAAAAGCCTAAACCCTACTAAACCCTAAACCCTACCTAGACCTCCCAAGTACCCTCTATAGACCCTAAGTATCCCCAAATAGAAGCTACATAGACCCTATTATTAGGGTACTTGGGGAGCCTAGAGCCTCAACCCTGAACCGCTCCAGGGCACCCTCTTTGACTTCCTCCATGACAACGGCCCAATACATGGCATCCAGAAACCTGGGTTGTGCTGAAAATCTGGAAGAGGGTTTCGGTTTTGGGGCTTAGGGCTTAGTCCTACCAAGAAGTGAAAAACAGCAGGAAATGCTTCCAAAGCACAGGCTATTTAAACAAACTTTCAGCCCTGATCACCCTGATGCAGCCGGTGTATAGGAAAGTGACACAAACAATTCAGGAGATGTGGGCATTTCTGCAAATTGATCGCTCCCTTTTGGAGCTTGCTGGGTATCAGATACTTGGGGCTCCTGACGTTGGGTAACTCCTCTTTATTGCACTTCCCAAAGCATAGCACAGGCACCCATAGGGGCTGTAGGCCCCTCGGGCCATTCGCTCTGGCGTGATGAACCAATAAGCGTATGTGACGAGGTCGTAGCGGTTGAGAGCCTCCTCGAGCCTCACTTGCCAGCCAACTGGTGGACAAAGGATGCACTTGGACCTTCTAAACCCTTCACTCAGAGGTTTAGGGATACTAGCCCAATAAATGAGAATCAAAGGAAAAGACATCGGCACATGGGATTTAGGGCTTAGGTAAGCATGTTAGGAAACACTGGTGTTACCTATGATACTGGCTTTAGGGGATATGGGTTATGACACCTTGATGAACTTTGAAGGAATGTCCTGGGTCTCTGTTTTCGATGCGGCCCCTGCCCGCAAAACGCCGGTTTTCACTTTACAGTATACCTATAAACCCTAAGCCCTATGAATCCCAAGCCGTGGCTGATCACAACAGAGCCATCCGGGCCCTCAACCCTAACCCTACTCCGAGCAAGCCTTAACATGGAAATTGAGAAATGCCTGAGCGTACAATATGATCTTTTCAGGGGCAAGAAGTCTTGGGTTGCATGTCTGCCTGGGGGAATGTAATCTGCATTGTACTTAGCCCACATTACCCTAGGGAGAAAAAGGATCCTTTTTACAGAATATAAAGAACCCCACACCCCAAAAAGTATAAAAGGATCCCTAACATTGATCCAGTGTAGTAGCTGCTCCAGCCAGGGGCCCGACGTCCAGTTGTGCATTACCAGTGAGAAGCTGAAACGCCCTCTTCTTGCAAGCTCCTGAAGCTTACCGTCGGATCTGACATGCTTTGCAGGCATAGGTCTGCTTCATTTGGTGGTTTCCCAGAATTAAGGGTACCTTTTTGGGGGTCCCTATAATAAGGATTATAGTATTTGGGGGTCTATATTGGGGTCCCCTTATTTAGGGAAGCTACGTTTTTGTTACAAATTCAGAGGACTTTACGGGCATATTTCTCTAAAAATCAGGTCCAACTTATGGCATTTGCTGACGACACTATGGGGATGAGCTATCTGCGGGTAAGTTTTGGGCGCCTAGGAGGTAGGGGTTGGAGCCTAAAAGCCTGGCCGAAAGCTTTAAACCAGCCCTGAAAGGAGCAGCCCAGATCCAAATTTGTTGGTTTTGACTTAGGGTATATATAGGGGTTATAAAGGGATAATGGAAAAGAACATGGAAACTACAGGGATTATATAGGGATAATACGGAAAGGAAACAGGAACACCAAATCGCGAGGAGACCACGTTTGAAGGCTAAGTTTATAGTCACCCTTAAGTAGATAGAATATGGGGTATATGGGGATCTTACTATACCCATAGCCATATTCTATCTACTTAAGGGGGACTATACAGTGTGGGACTCCCAAGCTTGAGACGCAACGACACTCATCTCCTAGACCCACATACTTCATCTCTTCCTTTAGAATCCAAAGGTTTAGGGTGTAAGGGTCCCTTTAAAGGGCTTATATAGGGATTATATGGGGATCATGGAAAAGCTACTATTTAGGGTTTAGGGTTTAGGGGTATACCTAGACCCTCCAATGTAGGTCCTTTTTGGGTTTGGTATGGCTTTTCGGCTAGGACTCTTATTAGGACTACCCAAAAGGTACTGCATTGGAGGGTCTAGGTAGGGTTGAGGCTGATGTCTCTAAACCCCAAACCCTTGCAAAGTAGAAGTCTGAACCCTCAACCCTAAACCCCTGAACTTGAACCCTAAATCCCTGAAACCTAAACCCTAAAACCCTACATCCCTGAAACCTAAACCCTAAAACCCTAAATCCCTGAACCCCTACACCCCTACATCCCGGCCTTTAGGAGTTCAATCTCCAGGCCCACATAGCTGGAAGTTGCCGGATCCCAAGCCAGAAATCTCTCATCCCAAACACCCGTCCCCACTTGGATATGAAGGTCCTGCATACGATTCAGGGAGAGTTCAGAGATGTAGGGGTACCATCTGGGATTCCCTATAATAAGGATTAAAATACTATTAAAATATACTGGGGTCAATATTGGGATCAGCAGGATTTAGCAGGTTTAGAAGATGGCCTCACTCTTCTAAAGAAATCATGGAGGGCTCAGGGTGTATATGACGAACTCTCAGGTCAGCGAGGGAACTGTTTGTTCTAAAAGCTTGCTGATCTATGACGTAAAAGATGACCCCTGCGCCACCCTCTTGCTGGGAGATCGTAAGGAATATGGAATGCAATCGCCAATTACAAGAGGCAAACCCAATACGCTATACCGTCTGATCCTCGGCAATCCTGAGGAATACAAAGCCCTTAAAACAGAGCTCGGGGGAGTCTGATCGCTCAACTCCCCCCCCCCGCCCCGCACTGATGGAGGAACATACTAGAGCAGACTGTTGGGAATGCTGGTTATGAGGGTAGGGCTTCTAGCATCCAATTCGCTGTGCAAAAGTAATGTGCTCGGTCACCTCAGACAGATGTTCAAAGGGATACGCCGCTTGCCGCTTGACAGTTTCAAGGGAGCAAGGGATGAAAATATGCTGCGCTAGGCCTTAGGCCTGCAATCCTAGAGACCCTAAACCCACTTACCCCCAGGTCCTCCAGGCCCCACTCATGTGCTAGGGTGCCATTTCTGATCCGTTCAACCCGATCGCAGAGAAAGGTGCGATTTGCCTTACAAAGCACATGGAGGAATGTCTAAGAATCCATGATGTAGGGTCGAGCAATTATGAACACAACAATTAAAGCCATAAGCCTGCAGCTTTCGACCTAAAAGCAAAACTATTTAGATAGGCTTCCGGAAGTTCAAGGGTATGAGTGCAGGGGTTTTGGCTCAAAAGTGTATCCTGATTTCGGGGCATATTAGGGGTAATCTCATGTTTAGATCCCATGTTCAGGAATACCCTCATGCAGACAAGTAGTTTCCACATGGACCAGCACTTCAGTCAGGAGATGCCGTCCTAGCAGGCTAGTGAGGTCTGTAGCTGTGTCGGTTGGAATGCTTCAGATGTCTGCTCAAAGGTGTTTGGAGATTGTACTTACACAGGCTTTAATAATTAGGAAGTGAGTAAGGCGGTACCACGGATATCAAGTCAAACCTCCCCGCGCAAAGCCCAGGAGACCCAGATGATATGCAGCGGACTTCAATACAAAGTTGACACAATTGACGTTCGTGCCTATGGTGACCTACTTAGAGTTGGGTCATCCAACCCTCTGAAGTTTTGAGCCATAGACCAAAGTCCTCATATTGCTAGGCATGTGCGGGTGCATATGCAGCAGAAAGAAAACCCAGTGCAACCATGATGCCGCTCTGTTTGCACAGCACTGCAAAGTGAGAACGAGGCCCCAAACGAGCGCTCGCCGGCACATCGCTCTCATTTTGACACCAGCAGGGGGGTCGTGGCTTGGGTTTGGGGATGCAGGGGGCTATGCCTATGCGACGGCTCTTTCTGTTCAGCTTCATGTCCATTGCATTGTGGCAAAATTCTAGAAGGACTAACGTTCGTCCCTGTATCTCAAGCGTTTCAGTGAGCTATTTAGTAGAAGTGCTGAGGCTTTCTATACATGTGATTTCCGTGTTTTTCCGTCCTTCCTGCTTGTGCATGTTGCCTCGTGGGCAAAGTGGGCTCTGAAATGTCTAGCTTGAGAGCTGAGAGTTGCACGTGAACTCTTTCAGCTTGGATAACTGCACCTTAACCAGACTAAAGGTAGGTCCCAAAACCTGGCAACTGCCGCTGGTAATGAATGTCCCCAACCCCTTGCTCCCATAAATGGACCACACATGTGCTGAAAATCACATGGATGCTTCTCAAAGCTTCAGGTCCTATGTCTTCCCTCAAAAGCAAAACCGTGAGGAGGACTCCAGAGACCCGCCACCCAGAGAAACGTCCAAATCCCATCCTAAATCCTAAAACCTACTCTCAGCCGTAAACTCCAAACCCTAGAAGCCCCAACTTCTGAACCCCAAACCCTTAAACCCAGCCTCTCCACTTGACGGCCACGCAGGCATTCCCAGGTGCTTACGTGTCTTTAGACACCTTTGCAAGACACTTCGCGAGAGTCATCTAGAAGTCCAGGGCTCAGGGTTTCATTAGGGTGCATATGGGGATTATGTAGGGGTGATATGGGGGTGATATGAGGGTGATATAGGGGTGATATGAGGGTTATATAGGGGTTATGTAGGGATATGGAACAGAAAATGGTAACTACGATTTAGGGGTTTGGGGTTTGAGGAGCAAGGGTTGAGGAGATTGGAACGAGGTGACAGCTTGCCTTTACTGTTTTCTGGGTTTTCCTCCTCTTTAAAGGATGCTGGAGTTCAAAAGATGTAAAGTGATGTTAGTATCCCATTTCATGTCAAGTGCACTGTGGCACTGTCATAATGACCCCTTGTAAGTAGGTTTTCTGACATCTTAGCAGTTCGCAGCATACATAGGGTCGACGAACGACGCCAATACCCGCATCATCTTATTATCTGAATATATGCTAATCCAGATCCACACATGCCTGTCTTCATGACTGATTTGCTTACGGTACTGCTCCTTACTCATATCGGCTTCCCCATGTCTGGAACGGTGATATGGGCAATTTCCGACACTGTTCGAACAACTGAACCTTCGAGGGCGCACGCGAAGGCTTTTTTTTGTTTTGGAAGGGGGGGGGCGCAATTACTATTTCCGCCAGTAAGTACTAGTCCTACTACGACCACGACCCCGACTACTACCACTACTACTGCTACTACTACTACTACTACTAGTACTACTACTACTACCACTACTACTATCAC